GAAGTAACCTGAAAAGAAATCTGGTTGGAGGTAATATTGCAACTGAGAGCTCATAGCTGCGGTGGCAGCTACTTGAATTTGGACAAAGGCCCGGTAATTGTAATAATAGTATGCTGTGAATGAATGAGACTGGTGGTGTTTAAGAAGGAACATCCATTAGAGTGCATGTTCTGTTCAAACCTTCTCTGAAAGCAGAGTAAAAGCTCTGCCGCGACACACTCTGTACTAGAAGGTAGTCAGGGGTACACCCTGGACAGATCACTAGTCCATCACACAGACACAGAGACAAACAACTATTCACTTTCAGTTACCAGTTAACCTAACAGTCATGGTTTTGGTCTGTGGGAGGAAGCTGGAGTTTTGGGAGAAAACCCACACATGCACAGAGAGAACATACAAACTCTACTCAGAAAGGTCCACTAAGCCAGGATTCAGTCTGGCGACCTTCTTGCCGAGAGGCATCAGCTCTACCAGCTGAGCCACTGTGCTGCCCCAGTTCACCAGTGTCAACAAATAAAAAGTACATTTTAATTTATCAAGTAAAAGTTTGTTGCTTTGAGGAAAACTTGTACCACAATGTGTGAAGCAAAGTTCAGCTGCTTTTTCAGACAAAAATACATACATTTTATGTCTCCATTTATCAGTTTGATACATAATGGATTCATTCATGTTTAAAGATCAAACTTAAAAAAAGTATAAATTAAATTAAAAATAAAAATCAAGACAGTACCTCTGCGACCCCCCAGTGGGATTGTTGTTGAAGACCTCTGCCATAGAAGGTTATGCGTAACTTTTATATCTAGAATAACATTTTCTGATATTTTTCATCAGTTGATTATGTTCTGTTTTTTATTATTATTATTTTCTTGTTTTGAGTTTTATTGTATTTCCAGCCTCAGAGCCACTCCCAGACAAAAGCACAGCCCCTGATAAAAGCCAGCATGCAGCACACAAATTCCAGAGAAACTCCCAATGTTTGCCCTTTCCTCCTCCTTCAAAGCTTGCATACCAGCAGTGGGTGCCTTGAGAGTCATGTGCCTCGTCCCCCAGTTTCTCTCAGCTCAGACCCATGACTGCAGCACATGACGAGCTCAGGGCTGGATTACTGCCTGACTAACATGCTCACACCACCCGGTGCCTGCTGCTGCTGCTGACGCTCACCCCAAAGACATCTTATCCTCTGGCTGCTGGTGTGTTTTTATTTTTAGACATTTGATTTAGCTTTCATTTGGGCCATTTTTCTTTGTTTGGTGAGGTTGTAATATGAAAACAGACACACAGAAAGGTTTTCATCATGTAAAAAAAAAAAAAACCCAGATTAAAAGTGAGAACATGTAGAAGACACATCCAACCTGTAGAGATGTGGGTTAATGTTTCAGCCACAGTTTCATGCACACCGAGACTGACAGGCACCATCACAAGCTCAACATGCCCTTTAACAGAATTCTATTTAACATCTGTGAAGTAAAGGTTAGGCTCTTAATTTCACACAGACCTCTGGGATTACACTTAATAAAAAGAAATATGAAATATGAGAAGATAAATATTATCGATGTCCATCTTCAATACTTTTTCTTTTTTTGTCAGAAATGGACGACTGGACTTCAGTTTGATGGTAAATAGATTTTTCATCTCTAAGACACAATTGGGAAACATTTTTTCCATAAAACCATTGATTTTGAGTTTCTAAGGACCTAAAAGCTCTACGAAGAAAGTCATACAATCTTCATGGTTGTGTAAAAAAAACCTTGGCTGAGGCCCTGTTTGCCTCAGGTACAATGTGCTTAGCTGTGCTTGGTGTCTTCTCAGAAAACCTCAGGGAGTAAATGTAAATCTTTTGAAAACCCACCGATGTGTTTGCCGATTTCTCATTAAATCTGGGTGGTTTCTGAGAACTGCTTTGAGGAACGAATGTGGCTGTGTTGAACTCAAATTATGTGCATTTTTCTTTGAAACTAAAAGCACAAACTGGGAGACTATTTAAAATAATGTGAAGACTTGAGCCCATTGGGAGATCCAATCAAAAGGCTAAAGAACAGAGTATTTAAAAAAGCTGATGTTCTTTGCAGAAATGCTTATCGTCCACTGCTTTGAACAACAAAGATTTAGACACCATTTAAAGAGATCAGATAGAGCTCATGGTATGTTTTAGAGATAACTCTCAGCCACTGTTATGCAAAATTTTAGCTCATTATAAATACAACTGTATACAAAAAACAGTCATCTACTTTTCAGGAACAAATATTATTCTAGTTTTCTTTAAGTAATCACTGAATGCCATGAATTAAAACAATGTAAAAACACCCCCAAACATCTTGTACTGCACTTGAACACAAAGCCACAATGAAATGTTAAAATTCGTAATTTGAATTAAATACCAAGATAGCTATTTTCATGTTTGCTAACTTTGATTAGCCGTGGCAGCCATCTTTAATCAGGCTGACTCCAAAATTTAATCACTTGTAGAGGCACATTCAATGATTATGTTTGAAAAGAAAAGCATGTTCAGTTTACTCTGTCACATGTAGACAAGCGGACATGAATACCAAATAGACTTGAATATTGGATGCAAGAATAAAAACTATACAAGACCGGTGCCAGGCCAACCACAAAGTTTAGTTTCTCTGCAAGTGGCCCTGAATCAGGAAATATGATATTGCTTTAAACACCATCTTCAGAATCTGGCCCCGCCCACTTCAAAACATTACTCTGGTTGGGGAAAGTCTTCCTGTCACACACTTTTTGTCAGCTGATGAGAAAAATATCTTTGTGAGTAATTGGGGCGTGTATTTACTAAATGTAACAAAGAGAGCACATTCTACATAACCATAAAATGTCACTGAAATCAGATTGTACCTCGACTAAATCACAGTTTAATCATAAAATTAGATGATTAGGCAAAATAAATAAAACAGTATGTGTGATGCATTAACAATCAGTAGTAAACAGAATGCATTTCCTTCATGTTCTTTAAAATCTGTTCAGTGGTTCATGAGATATTTTGCTAACAGACATAAGCAACGACCCAATCACTGACTTTCATGGCAGCCAGGGTTGGAAAAAAAGGGAAAGGTAGCCAAACAAAAGATACGCTGTGAACTTTAAAGTGTGGCACTCCACCAAGTAATAAAAAGTACACTTTGAGCCAATCTCTGCGTACATAATATTTGGAGATGTACAGTAATAATTTGTAAAATAAAAAAAAAAACACTTAGTTGGTTATTTTTGTGGTTTATAAAATCAAGGTTTTAAAAACCCCAGAAGACCTGAAGTGAAAAGTCCCATCCATCATGAGACTCCACATCATCAAACATGAGCACAGACAATAAAAATCTCTAATGAATGTTATTAGAACATTATTTAACTAAAAAGCCAGCTTGATAACAGAACTATTTGAACTGATGGACACGTTTAGTAGCGTAGGAGCAGTTCATTAAGTCCGACTGATTTGTTCTTTATCATGACTTCAAGCAGACTATTAAGTTAATTTGCTTGAGAGTGACTTGATGATCCATCTCTTCATTTTCTTGTGTAAGACTCAATTTTCTTTGTGACACATCTTTAGATAAAACTTCAAGTTTTAGCATTCAAAACAGCAAACAGAATGAGATGATGTCATCTGAGACATGGATTAAATCTACACAAACTGATTAAAAAAACCTACTAAAATCCTGTGTGCTTTTTTATTAGTTTCCTTTTGATTCTGTTTTGATCTAAAGCGACTCTAGAAGTCAGTTTCTGACTCTAAGTGCTCCAAAATGTGACTCAAATTGTTTCCTTGTTCTGCTTCCTGCTGCTTGGTGCTGAGCAGGTAAGAAACAGTGAGTTTGTGCACCTGTGATGGATTTAAGTGAGAGTGAACTAAAACGGGAAGGAGTCAAATCAAAACAATGAGTTGAAAATAATTTTTATCAGTATAAAAAAACATTCTGATATTTAATTTCTTTGTTTCATTCATCTAATTTATTTCACAAATCCATTATTGTTTTATTCTAGTTTAGAAAATTGTTGGAATCAAATCACTTTTTAACAGTTTTTAAAGCATTCCCACAAGAATAACAACAATTAGACAATAATAAAAAACCTGCAATATTCTATACATTTTACAAAAGCCATTAATGTGTAAAAAAAAGGGGTTAGAACTTAATTGGAACTTTGAGAACTCTGCCTTTATTCAGTTTAAGTTCCAATTTTTCATGTTCACATTTTTTTAAAGTAATGCAAAAGTGCAGATGGTTCTCACTAAACAACTAATCTTTTCCTTTAAAATTGTTTTGTTTTTGGACAAATCACTTCTCAAGCACAGTAAAACACCAGGCTGCTGTGTCTGACTGGACACATCTTATTGCTGCTGCATCACCTTCCTGTTTCTCCATAAGGTGGGAATAGCGTGTTATGTCTCAAGGAACCCCCTGAGTTTAATGGACAAGACAAATCCTGAAGACAGATATTTTGAGTAGAAGGGGGTCTGTATTTTTTAAAGCTATAGGTAGTCACACAAGGAAATAAAAATCCACGCCCTGACTATCAGAGTAAAGGAAACTGCTTGGTTGAAGCTTGAAGTATTTTCAAGAGTAAAAATATTGATTATAGCTGACTCATCAGTTGCAGCTGCTGATGTGTTCTGATGTGATGGTGCTTATTCCCTTCTTTAAATAATACACTTTTCAAACTGTCCATTTATTACACTGAGCCCCATCATATCACCTTTACTCAACATGAAAATGTTTGCTTGTTTTTCAGTTTGTTAGGCCACACTAACACTCTCGCAGCAGAAACCATAATTCCAAAATGACTTCTGTGAATGCCAGAACAAGTGGTGGAGCCAGACATTTTTCTCAGTGGTGGTCAGGATTATATTACATCAGCTTTTACTTGAAAGTTTCTGCATATATTTGTGCTTTGGTCATTTCCTTATGTCCTTATACAGGCAGTGACTACCTTATAAACATGGGCATCAGAACCATTTTAAAAGTGGAGGGGACAGACTGTTGGGGGGTCTGGGGATCCTCCCCCAGAAATTTTTGAACGAAATAGCCATTTCCTGCATTCTGGTGTATTTTACCAGTTTGTTTAACATGCTTTTATCTACATAAATGAACACTTGTTTTAATAATTATTTCAGAGACAAATTATTCATTAAACTAGTTCCATCATCCTGTTTTAAACTCACTACAGCTGAGATAAGGTTAATTTATGTGTCACAATTTATCATATCCAATGACTTTAGGGGTGCTTTTTACTTTTATATTGTTTATTGATTTATTTTTAATTTTAACACATCATTGTGCCAAATAATGATGACCTTCAACTGCCTGTTTAAAACTAATATTAATACATTTGCAACATTGATTTAAAGGGGCATTTCACTTTTTCTGATTTAGTGATAGATCTACTCCTAACCAAAAGGGACAGAACATCATGCCGCCTTCATAGCATAAAATGACACTGTGTTATGGTGACAATAACAAAACATAGAATAAAATAAAATAAAATAAAAACATTTGTCACCATAAGTCAGATTACATAGGCATATGCTCTGTATGTAAAGACAACATACACTTCTTTGAGCTTGGTGTTGTTTCATACCGTTTATCACTGCCACCAACTGTTCAGGAGGATTATTACACCCCTAAAGGTTATTTCACTGTGGAAGGGGTGTGTACATCAGGGTGGCCAATGGGGTGGCCAAAGATTTGTCTGTGGTGGCCATGGCCACCCCTGGCCACCCCTTGGCTCCGCCCCTGACCATGAGTGTTAAGTTACTTGTTCATCTAGAAAAGGGTTCACAAGGCAGTTCAAACCATCACCATACATAACAGAGACAACATTCCTCAGTAAGAAAAATAAATTTAAAAAACAGTACAAATAGTAAAACGTGTGTAGTCACATACCTGTAAACAGAGCGTGGTAGTGCAGCCCTCTTTCCTTGTCTTGATGCGAGCACACGTCAAACAGATAGGCCTTGATGGGACCGTCGATGAAATCCGCAGCGAAGTCAAACAGCACCACCCCGAACATCACCACAACGATGGCCCAGGTGCTTTTCAAAGACCTGTCACTCACTAGTGCTGCAAGAAACGACAGGAGCGTGCCATCACTGCTCACATACAGGACCAACAAACATAAATATCCAGGATAACTTCAAATGATGACCAGACATGAAACACTCACTTCTGAGCTACAATGAAAAACAAACAAAAACAAGCAAGGACACATGCAACCCTAAGCATAGCTGGTTAGCATGACAACACAACAACCATAATTTAAATTTAACTTTAGTTACTAATATTAAGTTGGCTATAAATAGAAATAAAGTTGTGCCCATTATATCATTGATAACTGCTGATTTCATATTCAGTCTGTTTGTTCGTGCTCCTATTTGACTGCTTTAGGGGAAACCCTCAGTAGTTGTGGTCCATCACATCAAATTAGGGATTAAGTTGGATTTAGTCAAACTAAAGTAAGCACATTTTCTGATTCCTGGCTTTTTGTACCATAAAATTCTAATTAGAATTTCTCAACGTCATTTGAAAAGGAAAACCTCAAACCACATTTGGATATCAGGATTTCCCAGCTGGCAATGAAAGCCAGTTTGCCAGTGTGCTGGGAAAGTTGCAAAAATAGAGCTTTTCTGCTCAAAATCATGGTGGTACTGCTCAGAAAAGTGCTTCAAAACATTCTTTAGGATTATACGTATCAGGGACATTCCCTTCTAGGGTGCCAACTATTTAATCATCTTTTTTTTTAACAAACTCCAGTTCTAACAATGCACCACAGCTGCCTATTATTTCACTACACAACTCGCAACTTAAAACTCAGTTCAGTGTGATGGGTCATAATCTGTAAATTAAAGTGGTTGTGTGACAATAGAGTTGTGTAACAATGACACCACACAATCCAAGAATGAGCCAAATGTGTTGATAAGGACTAAATAACAGGTAAACTGTAAAGATGCATGATGGTAAACAAATAACTTGACCAAGAAAAGCGAATGAGCTTCTATAATAAAAGGAGAGATAATAGTCAACAGATGCGTTGATAACTAATGGAAGGCAGGTGGTGTCTGAGGAGCTGGAATCAAGGAGATCAAAAAGCTAAAATGGCACAGGAACAAAGCCAATAACATACTTAAATAAGAAAATGTGAAAACTCATATAATATTAGATTTTTTAAATAAATGTTTTTGTTTTACTTTAATCAGTAAAAAAAGCTCTGACTTTTATTTCACTTCAATTTTAAGTTGAAAGTACAGCAACTTCTCCAACTGCGTGTTTACACAGATGGTGCATTTGCAGTAAAAGGTACAAATCTGTTATGGCTTTGTGGTTTTAAAATGAGTGAATTTGGCACTACAAAAAAAAAAAAAACACTGAAATTAGAAAAATAAAAGAAGACGTTCACTCTTATGACTCTTTGACGTTTTGTCATGCAGTAGCAGAAAAACACGTGATAAAAAGTACTCACCCTGACGTTACACAAGTATTTTTCTACGCGTCATATTCCATCAACATGCTGAAACACACTTATATCAAAGCACAAAACAAGGGCCATAAAAACAGGAGCAGGTAGCTGCTGATGAATGAAACTGGGTTACATGAATAATTAAATGTGTTCTGTGCTGAGAGAGCAGGATGGATTCAAATAGCGTGAATTAAACACCTCCCCACTGTTTTCGGTAAGGCACAGATTATGTTTGACATATTTCTTTACATAGAACAGACACCGAAGGGCTGTGCATCTAATTGCCCAAAATCAGTAGCAATTTGCAGCTTTATTTGGAAGATGATGCTAAAAAAAACATTAAGTTTTGTTTTATGTTGTATAAACGCCTGTAGTCACTGACCTCAGAGTTTAGTGTAAGGGTCACCCTGAGGGGAAATAAAAATAATAAACAGATGATCTGGGTGACCCTTACATTAGTTTAACATCAAAAAAGCTACAGGAGACAGACATTGTATTTTCTTTACTTTTTTCTGCCTCTCATCCCCTCCATTTTTCCTTCTCTCTATCTCTGCCCCCTCTGCATAAAAAAGGATATATATATAT